TCTAGGTGCAATACAACATAATGTTATCCCAAAATAGTAACTGCTTCATCTGCAACGACAACTTCATAATATTATTTAATTCTTATGTTGTGATAACATGCGATATCCTCAGTAAGGATGAGGACATTGTGTTATAAGATTTCATAGGCACTTTTACTAAAAAAACACCTCTTTGGTAAAGGACTTAGAGTCCAAAATGAAGATTTAATCAGCTCAAGTCTTCCCATTTTGCCCAGTAACTTTCTGATTATCAGAACACGAGGGTAGAGTGCGAAACACATGTAGGTTAAGTAATTTTAAATAACCAATTACCCATATCCAGCCATGCTGGATTTGGGGCTTAATTGCTTCAGACATGCAAGCTTTCTCTCCAGTTATCTTTTCACAGCCCACCAACACAATTTCCTGTTACAGTAGCATTGTCCTGAAAATTCACCATAATGAATTTTCCAGTCTGAGCACTCTGACCCAGTTCTAAGTCAAAAGTTTTTCTATGCAGCTAAGTAAAAACCTTAGTAAATCGTAAGTGAACAATATTGGCCTAACATAACGAGATTCTCATAATGAAGTAGAAGGTGAATGCTCAGCTCCTGAAAAATCCATCTCTACACTTTACAGATAAACAACTTTGTTTCCCAAACCCATGTAAAATGCTGTATATTTTACTTTACATTTAGCTGTAGCTTTCTGGTTCATAAAATCATAAATCAAATGATTTGCTTATTTTCTCCCTGTAATAGCTGCACAGTGCTGAAATTTTGCCACCAATCATGGAGCACCGAATCAGTTTTCAACTAGCATTTCTTTATTTTATTTTATAGAGCATCAGGTTAAAATATGGCCCATATTTCTGTGGCAATCTCTCTCCTGTATGCATAGCAGCAAAGAAAGTAAAAACATGAGCACTTATTATTTTGTTAAGTGTGTTTGACTAAATGAAGTTATAAAAAAATAATGAAAACCTCTGCAATTCACCATAAAAATTTCATTTCCAAAAAGAGCCAGTAAAGCTGTCAAAGAAAAAAAAATTCATTTCTATGGTATATACTATTAGACCATACATAAATGAAACTGCACATACATCAAGACCTAAATAACTATATAAATGCGTCCTAAATTTCCTGAGACAGATGGTGGATCATACACAGACAAGATATGCATTCCAAAAAGATTTTTTTCTTTAAGAAGAATAAGAAAGGGAAGATGAAAGAATAGTGGGGAAAAGTTTAAACTACTATTAAATTAAAACAACCCCCCCAAGATTATGCTGCCACATTAGACAATGCAAAGCAAATGAAAGCAAGGGATGACACAGTCATTCTGGCCCTGATTCAGGAAATTGCTTCGACATATGTATGAGGACATCTTAGTTCAGGAACAAATGTAAGTACAAGCTTAAATTTAAGCACGATGAGGTTTTCACCTCCACTCTGGCCCCTGTACCCTGGATCCAGCAGCTGGAGTAGTGGGAGGAGATACTAGAAGTCCTCTGTATGGCAAAGGCAGGTGAAAAGGTCTCCTGGCAGGTGAACTGAGCTCGATGGCCCTCCAAGGTGTGGTTTAGGAGGGCATCTGAGGGCAAAGTTTTGAGCTCCCAAAGCACTGGGATTTCTGTACAGATCACACTTTATAGAGCGGACCAGAGAGGCTGCCTAATCTGCATTGGCCAACAGCTCTTGTAGGCGGCACAAACTCTTGAGATCATGAAGATCTTTTTCTGTGACCTTTGCCGCTTCTCCTTCTAGTTCTTCTGTGCTTCTCCCCTTAGAAATGCAGCAGATTCTCCCTTCAAGAGCTTAAATACCACTGGTTTAAACAGGAGTTGGGCACATGCCTAAGCTCTGAGAATAAGAATACTTTCGTACTTTGGGGTGATCAGTAAAGAGCATGTTTCCACTCCAGTCAGCAAGTAGAAGGAGATAGAAATACTGTACTTAAATCTGTGGAAAAGGAGAAACTCTTGTTGTTTCTCTTAATTAACCCACAATCACAAAGTAACAATGAAAACATTCTTTACATTTCTCAGGCAGTGCAGATAAAAGGAGCTACATGAAGTACAGCTGTATATCCTAGATGGTGAATACTTCTTGCCAAAAGTGTTCAAGCAGATTGTAACACGTTCTTTACCACTTTAGAAATACTTAAGTTAAAACACTTATTTCTGGATGTCCTTTATCTGTCATGTCTGTCCACCCTGTTACCAAACTAATAAGTATAATATTCAGATTATGGGATCAAAAGTCAGGGAGGGTTGCTATAGGTTGTGCTAAGATAATAATACACACTTCCCATTATGTGTTTTATACTGCATCTAGAACAAAGAGCAATTCATTCAAGTTCGTATTTAGGGTGAGAGAATGGTAATACAGTGGTTGTGTGATGGCTGCTTGGACAGAGTGATCTTAACCTCAGGAATTTCCTCATTTCTTGGAGGTTCTGATTGTGGCTTCAACAACAGAACAGCCTGTTTACAGCAGCTGCACTCTTCTGTATTTTATGGTACAGTTTTTGCATCAAATTTTCTAGCAATTTTTTTTTCTATTTTGTAGGTAGCTTTAAGGAGTTATAAGAGGAAAAATAAAGCAGAACATAGTATTATTATACAAAATATAAGCCAATAAAGAGCAAACCCTCCTTGATCTTCCCTGAGGACCCCCACACTCACCAGTACAGATTAGTTCAGCTGTTCCTGAATTTCATTTTCTGAACCAGTCTGCTTACGTATCTATTACTTTTTGCTGGATTTGCCAGCAGACCATGGAAATTTAAAACCCTCAAAATATCAACCCAAATAAGACTGGAGGTTCTTTGCAAATGTTATTAAATACAAAATGGTTGTATAATGGTACACCTTTCCATCACTATGGATATTCTGGTTCCCTCTCTTTCTCTTTCAGTTATGCTACACCCTAATTACAACATGAAAACGAGAGTTCAAAAGTCCATTGCAGAGCTGATGGCAGGGCTTCATATTTACCATACTTTCAGTGGAAGCATTTTCCTGAGTAATAACAACTGGGTTTGGACTATTTTTAAGACCAGCATTCCAGACCTAATCCCAGACTCACCACAATACGTTGTCTTTGATTGCATGGGATCAAAAACTCACCTTGAACATGTAAGCTAGTTTTATGAGCTGCAAAATTGTTATTGTCTGCTTATTCCTTCTCTATGCATTTTCTTCTCAATGGTGCAAGATTTTTAGGTTCGTCTACCAAATGATATAAAATGACATAGCTAATGACAGTGTTACCAAAAATATCATTTCCTTTTTAAAATATATTTTTATAGAATTAAGTGCACGTCATTTTTGAATATGAAGTTTTATTTGCAAAAATGTAAATGATCTTTTCACTAAACAGCAAACAAAATGATGTATCTCTGAAAAATATGATAATGCTTTTTTAAGGATGTGCAGATGGTGCAGTTAGAACATCTGCAGCAACAGAGGAACTGAAGAGAACAGGAATTCTTTGTGAGGATGAGTTACTACCTCCAATCTATTTTTTTTCTTTTTTTTCTCAATGTTCTTTACTGAGAAACATTCTCTACCCTGGAGTGCTCAATATTTGGCCTCTTTTCAGAGCTTCTACTATACTCGAGAGAAAATCTTCATCATGAAATCTATTAAACATTTTAATCTGTCCACTGTCCATGTTTCAACTTGTCACCAGCTCAGGTTTTTTTATTTGCATCAAACAATGTTTATTTACACAAATGGAAAGCACCTTCATAAACAAGACGGTCATGGAATGGAGGAGGGTTAGAGAAGATCAACAAGGATGGTCAGAGGTATGGTACGGTTTCAGGACGAAGAACGACTCAGTAATCTTGCACTTTTCAGTCCAGAAGGAAAACAACCAGGGAATACATTGGAGGTCTAAAAGACAGCCCCTTTCAGGGAGAGGATGCTGTGGACGGACAGCTCAGTGCCTTTTCAAGAAGTGAGGGGTAACAAAAGGAAGCTAGCAGGAAGTGGGTTCAAGCTGGACAAAAGATGTGATTGCACTGTGGATCTCCTTGCCGTAGGATGTTTTATGTGACAGAAGCTTACATGGGTACAAAGGGACACTGAACAAAGCCAAGGAAAAGAAATCCATTCAAGATAGGTAACTGCTTAGAAACTGCATCTGCTTTAGAAAACCTGCAAATGCCTGGAAGCCGGAGGAATACATCTGGAAAACATCCTACAGCCTTGTCTTGGTTTTGTACTCTTCCCTAGACATCCTTTTTTTGTCCATTGCTTTGATTACAGCAGTAGATGAATCCTTGGTCTGACCTTATGGGGCTACTCTTCTGTTCACATATTTTGGTCCCCTTGATGGCAGAAATGGTTACGTGTGCAAATGTGCAGGTATAAATTTAATGAATCTTATGAAGAAACTTTTAATGATCTTCCCTACCATTACACCTCCTTCCCTGTGTCAAGAAGAAACTGGATTATAGTGATTACCTAGATGGTGCTGTGCTTGAAGATCATCAAGGAGATAAGGAGCACTTTGCAAAAAAAGGTCTCTGCCTACACTACATGCCTAGTTTCATCTAGTCCAGATTAACATCTTCATAAAATTAAGACATGCTAAATATATAATTTTCATCTTCACAAAAATCTGGCTTTGGTTCTCCAGTTCAGAGGTTCTCAGACTATTAAACTACCTGGGGAATAATGTCCACCTTAAAATAGAAATATTTTTACTCATTTCACTTCAAGTTCAGTAATCAAAGACAGTGATTGAACTGTGAAAAATACATCTTAAAAACAGTATTTCAAACATGTTTTAATCTTTTTTATATCATATTTCTATGTAAGCCTTTTTTTTTTTTCTAATTCTGTTCATTATGCAAGTCCTGGAAGGACTTCTGTACTTCGTCCTCTGTGAGTGAGGCCTTTGCCACTTCTTGTATTATGGATAATGCAGATGGTGAGAACAGTCCAGTTGCAGGTGCAAAGACTCCAATTCCCTGAAAGGCCAATGCAGACCCTGAGGCAGGGGGACTATTTATTCCATGTCATACAGTAATGTTTTGCTGGTCAGCTTCTTGTCTTGGTTGTCTTGCCCAGATTCTGATTCCCAAATAGATTTTACAACACTCCTGAAATGGAAACAAAATCAAACAAAAGCATACCTTTAAGTAGGTTTACATAAATTGCTCTGAATCATTCCCTTCCCATACACAATCACTGTAAGTGCTCTCTGCAAAGGACTTCTTTCCAATCTCCAGAAGCTTTCTGCTGTTTTCTCTACCAGCAACACAGATATTAAACTACAGAAAAACTTAAATAGTTCACCCCAGGCCATGTTTGTCATCCGCAATACTGTATTTTGATCAAATAAAACACAAATCACATTGTATGCTGTCCACCTACCAGTGAAGAATTATAAAGATCATGGCAAAGATCACACCAACAGTCACAATTATTCCAGTTGCCAGGCAAAAGATCAGAATGGCATCTGTTGTCATTCTCCTCGATTGCTCTGTTTCTATTCTCCTTGGTTTTTTTGTTTGCATTGCTGAAGAAAAGAAATACACAGTCATGATGTTCAAATTTTCAAATGAATCAGGCATTTAATCTTATGAACAGGACTGAAAAGGAGGAGGGACTGATTATTTGCTATCTGACATCTTTCACAACCTTCAGGCCTTTACCATATCAGCAAAAGTTAGAATAGCAACATTATATGTAACCAAAGAAGATGCAAAGGAGTGGAGATCAAGGCAGGTGGAGTGGGATACATGTCACTTAACAGCTGCGAAAAACAAAAAGCTGCAATCCCTAAAGACAAGGAAAAAATTAAAGGAAGGAAAAGTATATATTTGGCGCATCTTAAGAATTACTAATATAGCAATATTTTTGCTTTAAGAAATGCTTTAATGTAAGATTTCAAGGCACATCCATGTAAGATACATGAACAATAAAGAGAGAACTACCACAGGCTACCTGCCACTTGAGACACTTCTGTGCCTGGTACCAGGTGCTCCATCACCCAGGGCTGAGGCACCAAGGTACCACTGTGCTACAGAAGAATTCTAACAATGGTAATTGCTGCAGTAATAATGATACTAATGAAGCTAAAAGGGAGTATGCTAACAAAAGACTGGATTCAAGGACTTAAGTGCTGCTTTTCAGTTCCCTGTCCCTATCTAGGTCTGCAAAGCCTTTTTTATTTAAAGCAAATAACCACTGAGCATGGGAAGGAGTTGTTCTGCATGGCCCAGAAAGCAAGAAGCAGCTGCATGAAGCTGAGAAGCAAAAAATGCTGCAAGGATATCAGTAAGTAAAAATGCATTTTCCAATACTACAGCCTGTTCAACCATTTGCCTAAGGAAACTGAGAGCCCTGCCATTACTTAGGCTGTTTCTCTAAGAGCAGATGTACCGGTTAGGAGATGACTCTAACAAACAACCCAGGAAGAGCAGAAAATGCTGAAGATGGTCAACCAACTTCCCCCATCTGTTCTTTGATACTGGATAAAGGAATACATGGAAACCAAACCCAGTTACCTTGTTTGGAAATTTCATTGACCTTATTTGTTCAGCCACATTCAATCAAATTAATGAACTATCAGGCATCTTCCCAGACCCCTCCAGCTTTGACAATTTTAGACAAGCCAACCCTAATTCCTCTTTCATTTTCCCTCATATAGTTTCTAAATCTATAAGGTGCTATCTCATTGCTGACTGGTATGCAAAATTCATGTTCACACGGGTAGGAATTCTGTGTAGCAGAATGACTTCAGGAAAACCATTCCTATTTCTATTTCATTTCTACTTCTATATAAGGTCCTGTGCCACTGTCATCACTGTAGTATCTAAGCAACTCTTCCATCGCATCATTTGAGTTTCATTCTCCTGCATCACAGAATTTTCATTCTGATATTCTTAAACCACAGCTCATCTATAGGATTCTCCTGAGCTTCCTGCAAGATACAGGACAGGTAAGAATGGTGAACTGGCTGAGAATATCATAGATAGCAAAGTCTGAATACTAGGGTTTCCATAAAGTGTAGAGCTAACTGCTTTTAGGCTAATTCTTTTCACTGCCTGGACTGTGTCTTGTTAGAATTACATGCAGTTGTGGGGCATGGAGGTCAATGGAAATTATCTTTGATTTTGGAATTTCATTAACGTAATATATTTTCCCCTTGGCGAGATGTGAATTTAGAGCTCTAAGAATCCCTCAGTTTACAGGTTGTGGCAGGAGCCTGCTGAATAGAAAAGCAAGTTTTGTGTTATCCACAGATAATCTACTCAAGTTTTCTTCCTAGGCAAGAAATTCTTCCAATAGTCAAGAACCAGAACTGCCCAAGAGACAACCTGATAATACAGAGGGGAGGCCTTCCAAGTAAACACGTCTTGAAAGTGCAGGCAGGAAGCAGACAGAAAAGCAGCTTCCTAATAAGCTGGGTTACAATGAGCAAAGACATTCACATCAGGTGCACTTTTAAGCCCCTGTCTGCACGCCTAAAGACCAGGCAACGCTCTCAATTAGTCAGTGAGAATTTTGCCATAGCTGGAATATGCCTTAAAACCATCTTCAGCTTACAGTTAAGATTACAAAGAGGTATTTACATCAACTTTTTTTAAAAGTCCACTTAGCTTAGTAAAAGTAGGAAGAACAACTTTTTTGAAACATGCAAAGTCTAGTTCAATGACTTTCAACTTCCAAGTCTACAGCCCACTGCAGCTCTGTGAACTACTTCACTATAAAGAATGACAAAAAGCACTGTCATATATATTCCACAATTACATTGTAAAAAAATTCCTAAAATTGTGTGCAGTCCACTAGAAATTTTCTAGGGTTCTACAAACAAAAATGACATTGATCTGACAGTTTCAAGCAGGCTGCCTCCAACCCTACCAAAAGCTTGGCATTCTCACTTTACCTGTTGTTTATTTATATTAATCTTAACTAGTAAAGGAATGTACTTAAATGAAATGCAAGGGTGAGATACTGCACTTAGATTGTAAGCATGACTGGATCTAAACTATGAAGATCCATTTATTTGTGCAAGTCAGAACAAGGCAGGCAGGAAGGAAAAGAAGGAATGATCAGATTTAATTCTCAGCTTCCACCTGTGCTCGCTGATTTGAGGTGAGCAGAATGTGGCAGAAAACCCACAGTGTGCTGGTCATAGCTCATGGAAGTCTTTCCAACAGGTCAAATGGTCCAAGCACCGTACACTCCCTCCACCCCAGATCCAATCTGCTATGCCAATGGGGGTACAACAGGCTGGATGAAAGGAAACCAAAGGTATAAAACCAATATAGCCATTACAAGCTGCTAAGAAGCTTGACAGGTTTTTTGCCTTCTTTCTGTCATCAGAACAATATACCTAGTCTGAGCCACCATGCAGGACCTGGCTCAAGGACCTCCGAAATTTACTGCTTTCTTATCTGGGCCGGAAGAGATTCACCACATACCTCTCTCACACTAAGCAGGAGAGCAGGATAGCTCTAAACCAGAGAGCACATTCTCTGCTGTGGTGTGGCCCAGCAAGTATATTTGTATTGTATACAAAGCTGCTTTGATTTCTGTGCAGTGTGGTGCATCTCTGGACTGTCCTCTGCCTTCATGGAACCCTATCCCCGACCAATTGTTTATATGGTCCAGCAGCGAACAAGAGTCCTTTCCACCCGTTTTCAGGTCCAGAAAGTATGTACTTTCAGGTCCCACAGTCTGCCTCTGTGGGCTGGTTTGGGGTTTTTTTTCCCCCTTAATATAATGGTGATGCATAGCTTTTTTGTTTCTCTTCTAGGTTACCTATAAGCCTTTTTCTATATATTAAAAATGGATTGAGTATATGCTCATGGGAGAGGAGGATTACATGCACACAGAGGAGATCCAGGCTGTTAATCTTGGGTACTGGGATTCCTCATTTCATTTCTGTGCAAATGCAAAGACAACATGGCAATGCTGATTACATGTTTGTACAATAGCTGGTTACAGAGATGTGACTTTTGTCTCTCAAGGAAGCTCTGGGACTGAAGGAAATGAGCTGGAGAGAGATGGGGGGCTAGAATGGCCTCTGAGACACAGAAATGCGATTGCCTCCATCTTCTCCACAGAGCTGCCACCAGACACATACCCCAACTCGCTCTCTTGCTCATGAGAAGCGTGGAGCTTGGAGCACAGCTGGGATCTCAGCAGGCTGACACCCTTCACATAGCATCCTAATGAGGATGGTTCTCTGCTCTTGCATTCCTCCCTTGCAGAGTCCTCCCTCCTCACAGGACTATTATTAGTAAATATGAATAAACCGCCTTCCAGCTCCAAAGTCTTCACAAAACACCAAACAACACAATGGGCGGGAGTGTGAAACAACACCCTCAGTGTTTCAGGGTAGTGATTTAGTAAGAAGGACTTACAGAAATGTCAGTTATTAAAGGATGGGATTTTCCTTGCAGAGATCCCAATAATTTTTGATAAAGATAAAATACTTTTTTTTTTCCCTGTTATGTTTCTCTTGCTATAAAAGACAAAGAGAACCCATAGGTCTGAACAGTTCTGAAACAAAAGGAAGAGCCAAATTACTAAAGACCACTCACTTATGTAAAAAAGCCATTACGACTGTTGATCAAAAGGTCACTGAGAAGCACAGTGATCACTGGTAATGGACACATGCAAGTTCTCTGTGCACAGATTTAAAATGAACTCACACAAAGTTTTGCCACATGGCAAATACACATAAATTCCTGTGAAGGTTTTGCCTGCCCTTTTGCAACATGTTTTCCCTTCCCCCCACCTTAACACACTTCAAAATCAGAAGGAGAAAGTGTCACGCTATGTATTTTGAAGTGGTGGCTTTGGGGCCAGACTTGCAGACAGCGTTGCTGAATCTGGCCACTGCTGTGGGTAAAACATCAGAGCACTGGAAAGAGGAGGAAGGATGAGACAAAAGCAAACACGTTCACCCCTTATCGGCTGCAGTGATAATTTTTAGCTCTGATGATGACTTCAAGGCTTTCTCTCTAAGAAAGCACCAAGAAGAAAGGCCAGCCACGGAGCAAACACATTTCCATTTCCCCTTCCCCATCCTGTAGCTCTGGCATGAAGAAATGTATCTCTGTGGCATAGTGGAAGGATGACCGAGGTGATGAGAAAGACAAAATATACAAACTTAAGCTTATTGACTTGAGTGAGGCAGAGAGATGGTCAGAATCACCGCAGCTGGATTAAAAAAAAAAAAGTAATTTAGGAGGTAATAGAGAGGACCCTCTCTTTTCCTGACTAAAACTGATTTGCCCTTTCAGCTGGTTCAAACACACCTCCCAAAATCTATGCGAGACCCTCTCCCCACAGGCAGGTGGCCTGTTGTACCAGGTGCCGGTGCCCAGGCAGCAAGGGGTTGGCATGGCGGCCTCTGTGAGGAGAGGCCGGGGCTGCCTCATGCTGGACACAGCCGGTTCCAGCCAGCTCCAACCGGAGGGTGGTGAAACACTGGAACGGGTTGCCCAGAGAGGTAGTGGAGGCCTCATCCCTGGGAACATTCAGGCCAGGTTGGACAGGGCTCTGAGCAACCTGATCTAGTTAGCGGTGTCCCTGCTCACTGCAGGGCGGGCGGACGAGATGGCCTCTAGGGGTCCCTTCCAACCCAAAGCACTCTGGTTTGATTCTATGATTCTATGATTTGACCCGCTAGGGTGGGCTGGCAGGCAGCCAGGGTCAGCCCACCACCCCTGCACAACTCATGCTGGCTAGAAATCTGTGTGGCCAGTTTTGAATCCTGGAAGAAAATGCAGTTCAGTCCTGTAGATTACCTGGAAAAGGCCATTTTTTGTCCTATTTCTGATACCAATTCTGCCCTTGTTTACATTTCCATCGGAGACCAGAGAGATAAATGGCAAAGAAAAAGATGTTTGCTCAACAGAAAGACTTAGATTTTCTGGAGTAGGTAGAGAAACCATCTTGCTTGACAGGCATGATAAACTCAAATCTCCCAACCCTCACTTCAAAAAGCCTTTTAATGAGGAACTGGGAAAGGCAGAAACATTACCCATTTCCAAAGTCTGAACAACACAGCAAGACACATTCCCAGAGAACGGAGCAGCTCTGCAAAATATAGGCAGCAGCTAAGAAAATCTAGATCCCAACACAAGGAGTCTTGCCGCACCCACTGATGCTGTCACAAGGATCTTTCTCATTTCCTCCTGATCCTGTTGGAAAAGTAAATCATAGAATCATAGAATTGTTTAGGTTGGAAAAGACCTTTAAGATCATCAAGTCCAACCGTTAACCTAACCCTGCCATTCCACCACTAATGCCATGGCCCTAAGCACCTCGTCTACCCATCTTTTAACTACCTCCAGGGATGGGGACTTGATCACTTCCCTGGGCAGCCTACTCCAATGCTTGACAGCCCTTTCGGTGAAGAAATTTTTCCTAATGTCCAATCTAAACCTGCCCTGGCACAACTTGAGGCCATTTCCTCTTGTCCTAAATGCCATCTTCTGATCTGGCTAGACTTCTGACCATCCACAGACAGCAAAACTAGATCTGTATGATGAAAGTCCTGCTACATTCTCAGCCAAAACTTCAGCTGGTAATTCCTTCCATGTACCTAATTAACAATTTCTGAAGTCCAAACAATGTCACTCCTGGGGAAGCACAGCCCAGAAACTCCTTCGGGCATCTACACAGCTCTGTACCAAGCCAAAGGATGCTGATCTGGCACTAAGAGAACAACTCATTCCTTTTAAGTTAATAAACCTTAGAGCTTGTCTGTCTTCCTCAGACTTCTGTATAGTCGTAAATATTTTCTGAAACAATAAATCTCAATCTTTGTAAGAAGTTCTCAGTGACTATGTCTGTTGGGCGGGTTTCATCTGACCACTTTTCACCAAGACTGCTCAGCCACAGCTTAAACACAAGTGTGTGAGTCGTCCTATTGCTGACTCACTGACTCAAGTCAATGGGACCATTTGCATGCTTAAGCCTAAAACAGACTATGTGCTCTGCTAATTCAGGTCTCAAAAAGGAAGCTTCCTCTGTAGAAAAAGGAATGTAGAGACTGAATAGTGGGAGACAGAAAAAAAAAAAAAAAAGCTTTGGGTGTTTTGTGACTGCCAGATGGATTTAGAAAATGAATAAACAAATTCCATGTTACTGTACAATGGCAGAAAGGACCTCAACAGTGATAGAGGAAATAGTCTATCTCACTGAAGAAAGAGGGGAAAAAAAGCAGGATTCCCAGGCCAGTTTTACTTAGGTAAACAATATGGAGGCAAGAAACATGAGGAGGGGTATGTCCAAAGGTTTCTTTCTTTCTAGTCTGCCATAATTTTGCATAAGACCTGAATTGACATAATTTCAGGAAAAACTTTAAATTTTGATGAGCAAGGCACTTTCACCCTTTCTCTGATTAGGAGAGTTGGAGTTTCTGCATGGCTATTCTCATGGTTTGAGAAAATCAGCACACCTTTTCTCATGAAGTCAGCAAAAATCTGAGTAGCAAAGGAGGTGAGAAAGATAGTACTGGGGAACCTGCTTTATGATGTATTCTTTTTAATGTTAAACTTTGCTAAATCCATTGTGTATAAGCAAATTCCAGATGGCTGCTAAAAGAAAAAGGCCCAAAGGTTGTTTTCCTGCTTCAGTACTGAAGTGGAAAGGAGATTTAACTGCAGAACCTGTGCTGATGGTGCTACATGGCTTAGTGAGGCAAAAAGAAGTCTATGTTAACCAACCTGGGTGCAGTAAAAAATAAGCAGGTAATAGGAAAACCTCCTTATTTTAACTTGAATTTTTACAAAGGATAAAGAAAATACTCATTCCTACCATAAGGAACCTCTTCATTCCCATTCTGTCATTTCCTTTCATATGTCTCTTTTATTGACCTGCATTTCATGACAGTCATTACCACAGCACACAAGCTGCTGCCTATATACTATGGGTGGCGTGCAATCTTATGAAGATTGAGTACTACATAAAAAACCCAAGGCCATATCACTAGAAAAATGTAAGCGTCTCTATGAGCTCACCAGTTCTTGCGTAGACTGCATATCTCACAGCGGCAACTACATTTCCATTTTCTTGAGTTTCACACTGGAAAGTAACCAAATAGGTTTCCCTGCAAACTTCCATAACAGCTGAATCATTGGGAAGAATGTGCACTGTCTAGCCATATAGAAAAGAAAAGAAAAGAAAAAAAGGGGGGTTGTATGTTTTCAAATAAATCTGCAAAGACGAGTTGCATTGTGTCAGACGCACAGAAAAGTGCTTTTTCTACAGTTTTCAACCTATCAGGACCTCTTGGCCCCTGGGAAAATTCCTCCCATCTCTTCAGCACCTCCTGCTTGAACAACTGGGAAGGGCAACGTGGTTGTGACTTGCTGACATGTATGCACTCACCAGCCACTGTGCCCCATTTTTAATGAAATAACAGCAAACACTACTCTCTAAAATTATTGTTTCCCTCACATAAACAGGAAATTGAAGCTGCATAAAGGAGCAAAGCCATGTGAGTCCTTGTATTACCAGCTCGCCAGTGAGAAATCAGGGCTTATTTGCATTATGACAGCAAAGGAAATAATCTGCCCAGAAGTCTGTATAATTCAGATAAAGCATGTGGTAAACACATGCAGTATGCAATTTTTCTGCACAAAGTGGAGTTCAATTACTCACCTTGTTTGGAGTTAACATCTTCCAAATATATTTAAATCGATTTTCAGGAGGTATATAAATGCAAGGCATCTTCACGCAGGCAAGGCCCTCATCACCAATTGGTATTCCCCCTATAGGAGGAATTTTTAATAGGTATATCATTGACTATATGAAACATTTGTGATCACAAAGTTCATAAGTCTTCAAACCACAGAATATTACTTAGAGATTATCCTTTCTCTTAAAATTACTCCAAATACTTTTTGCTTTGTCCAATGTCTGGAACAAAGCACATAGCAGAAAAATGGTATTTGACAGGGACTTGAAATTGAGCACACATCAGTACAGAAATGAGATCTGAAACGCTACTGGATTGCTTAACAGGGTGATTGGAGGGTGGAATGCAATCACTTCACTTCCACCACACTAACAGAGAACAAGGATGTTTCCTTTGAATCAACTTACTTGCTCTAGATTACCGTATCACAGTGTTCCACTTACATCCACAATCTACTGGCCCCTGGCATTCCTCCACACGGATAATACATTTTGCTTCAGCCCCAGGGCATCCACTGGTTAACAGAACTTCTCGAATGCCGATCCCTTTAGGGGGAAAAAAAAAATCTTTCACTCTGCATTTCTTCATTTCCTTCAAACTTTGGATTTTATTTCTTTTTCTTTATCCTGGATGTTAATATGATGTATCTACCAAATACCAGGCAAAACAGATCTTCTCAGAGTGCCTGCTAAAGCTATCCCATGTTGGTATCTAAAATGTCGAGACACCATCTACTTCTGTCAGACTCTGCAAGGAAGGAGCCAGATTCTTAGAATCATCATGTGTCAGAAGAAGAATTCAAAATTAATTCAAAACTTTTCTTACAGAAAAAAAAAAAAAGTTTGAAATGAAACTAATATATGTTCTGCAAAACAGTTAATTCACTTTAAACATCAAAGCATCAGGCTCCTGGCCTTTAAATGCTCAAATCAGATGGCACAGACAATCCTGTACAGACTTCCAACTCAGTCTGCCTCCAGTCTTGCGACTCTGTGAGTGTCTTCAACTCCCACCAAGGCCAACAGAAACTGAAGGCACTAAAAACCTCCTGGCACTGAGACTGGGGAGTCTGAAGTCACCTAACAGTGACCAGCAATGAGTGATACAGGAATACCACCAACAGCCTCCAAAATGAAGCCTCTTGGAGCACAGAGGCTGGTGGTCATTAACATAGGGCTTCTCATGAGAAATGGGTGAAATCAAGCGCTGACCACCAGGACTCTCCCTGCAACACAGAGTATCCCGCTGAAGACAAAGAACAGGAGATAACCTATCACAAATGTGTAAAGTTAAGGAAAATTCTCATGCAATGATCCAGGAGGCAAAAAAAAGTATTCACTCTCACTGTCAGGATTTCAATGGGAACATCCTCATTTTAACAATTACGAACAAATTCAAAACAAGTGCTATAATTGTTTTTGCCAAACAGTGTGTACACAGTTCATTGGAATGACATAGCTTGTGGGGGAGGCAGGAATAATATGTTTAGGCCCAGTAAACACTGAAGGTTCTGCCATTTTTCCAGAAGCATTTTGTTTACTAATAGACATGGAAAGAGGAGAGTTAAACCCCCCTTGCAGTAGAATAATAAATAAGAAGCTGGTTTGAATATTGCATTTATGATGCATCTGCCTTCCTTAAATGTGCATTATATAAACCAATGGATTTCAGAATGTTTCAGAGATGTCGTGTAACTCCTGAAACAGTACTTCAAGTTGCAGAGGGAGACACCACCACTTACTGAAAATTAAACAAAACAAGCATCATTCTCCACTCCAGAGAGTATCTTATCTCATGGATGCAGAGACAGAGGGGTAAATGGCATTGAACTGACACTTCTATTAAAGGCATTCCTCTTTCTTCAGTGCCATGTAGGTTTTTAGCTAACAAAAAAGAAGGAAACCTATGAAAACCCAAAAGGCTGGCTTGACAAAATCTGGGTGCTGGGCTAATTGTAGTCACATTCATCAGAAAAAATCTCACTGTGTCTTACATACAGGAATATTAAAATTCGGGACATACATCACATTCAAAGCGTTGATGAAAAAAGCTCTTTTAATTAGATCTGCAAGTTCTTTTGGTAATCCTCTGCCTCTTCCTTTTGGACAGCTTTTTCTTTCACTCCCATGTTTCCTTTCCTCCTTAGTAGCTGCCAATGCTGATGAAATTAATCTACTGAGATGCTCTAACAAATGAAGTCTTAACTTCCACAAGTCATACAAGTTAACCTAACAGAAAACTGGCCTCAATGCAGTAAAATAAATTACCCAAATGAAATTCACCCTAGAGAAATGTAAATTAATAGACTGGTGGAGGGAGGGGGGTGAAGAAGGATGATCCACAAAGAACTGACTACTTAGCAATACAAAGACAACAGTTATGAGAGAAATTTAGAGGTAAGAGTGGCCAAAACAATTAGACCACAAAGAGACCAAAAAAAGGCAGATTTGAGGCAGGTATGATGAGGCATCATTAACTTATGCTTTAATGCCTCTGTAAACTGGACTATGAATAGAGGAGCAACAAATCTGAGCCACAGCATTATCGGGGAAAAATAAAGAAAATTGAGTCAGTTCAAAAAGCAAGAAACATAAAGGGCTAGTTAGATGAACCTAGGCAATAAGGTGGAGGGAGGTGGTAGAGTTCTCATCCCTGGAGGTATTTAAAAGAAGGATAGATGAGGTGCTTAGGGACATGGTTTAGTGGTGGGATGGCAGCGTTAGGTTAAAGGTTGGACTCCATGATGTCAAAGGTTTTTTCCAACCAAAGTGATTCTATGATTCTAAGGAATATGAAGGAGACCAAGAGCTTACAGCTATACAGGAAGAACCAAGAAGAAACCTTTCAGCCTTTCAACAGACAAACATGCTATGCATTGAACAGCCTAGACTAGAATGAAGGCTACAAACATGATCTGAACTCCAGGTATGAGATAATGCCTTTTTCTTTTTTGTTAGAGCTTCCCTTTCCTGATTCTTCAGTAAGACTATATAATTTTCAGTATTAAAGGGGCTAAACATTTGTATTGGGTCTGGCTGGGATGGAATTAACTTTCCCCATAGCAGCCCTCCCAGTGCTGTGCTTTGTATTTGTAGCTGGAACAGTGTTGATAACACACCGATGTTTTGGCTACTGCTGAGCAGTGCTCCCCCAGCATCAAGGCTGTCTCTTCACACCCCACACCCCGTAAAGGCCAATAGGCTGGGGGGTGGGCAGGAGGCTGGAAGGGGATGCAGTCGGGACAGCTGACCCAAAAAGACCAAAGGGATATTCCATACCGTATGACACTGTGCTCAGCTAAGATAATAAGATAAAATAATAAAAGCTAAGAAAATGGAGGAGGGAGCATTTTTATTAAGGTGTTTGTTTCCCAAAGCAACCGCTATGCAGACTGAGGCCCTACTTCCCAGAAAGTGGCTGGACATCACCTGCTGATGGGAAGTAGAGAATAATCCTGTTTCTTTGTTTCCTTTGCCTCTGTGCATGGCCTTTGCTTTTCTTTATTAAACTATCTCAACCCATGAGTTTTTCACCTCATTTTCTCCCCTTGTCCTGCTGAGGAGGGGAGTGATAGAGCGGCTTGGTGGGCACCTGGCAGCCAGCCAAGGTTAACCCACCGCAACATTAACTCTGAGGGACCAAAGATAAAAATGAGAAAAGATTTAGTGAAATTCCCTGGAAATACGGAACATTTGAGACATCTGCTAAAGGGACAGGACATAAGGAGGTTTCTTAGTATCCCAAAGATATGTGCATCAGGGCAAGTAAGGTTATTAAGAGTATGGGGATACATATATGGCATCAGTATACAGAACATATAAGCAAATTTGAAAATATGAAGAAAGAGAAATATTAAAAGTATGTAGAAGCAAAAAAAAAATCTCCTAAACCCATAAAGTCCTAAGAGGTGAAATAAGAGGGAATCAAGGAAGCTCTGTCATTGGAAATAAGAAAAAGTGGCTGGAAAAAATAAAAAGGCATACTCTAGAAAACATCAGATTGATGGGGGCAAAACCTCATCTCTCTTTCTTTCCTTTGTGGTCTTATAAGAAGCTGAATTTGTTCAGAAAAAAATTAATAGCATTTCTGATTCAAGACTGCTTCCTAAGCAATATAATTGCCCCCTCACAGCAGCTTCTGTCATCGCCCCAAACATAGGGATGTCTTCTTAAGGCTCATCCCATTTTTCCTCTCTCCCTTCTTACTCCAAAATGATACCTCTCCTCTCCATTGCACAATTTATAAATGGTATAAATGTGGAATACAGAACAGGCTACTGCAGGCAAGCAATTTTTTGGCAATATTGTATGTGGGAAGACATCTGTGAGAAGCATCAGAAGATCTTTCATCTTCTGAACATCTCACAGATGTTCACAAATAGCGAAAATTGTTACTTTGGGGAAGGCAGCTCATGTGCCAATAAACGTAGGGAACTGGTTTAAAATAGGAGCTTGCAGGCTGTGAAATTAATAAAACAACAGATCTGACCTAAACTCCTAATGACAATCAGCCTGATTGTTTTTGTTAATTATAGTTATTGGCAATTGAAATCAATGAGAGGTGAACGAGGGCAAGCAAATTACAACTGCTAAATTGCTACAGTTAGCACTTTTTTTTTTCCAAAACCAAATGACAATATGTTTTATTCATCTGCTTTGCTACTTACCACATGTAACTGTGCATTCTCCAAATTCTACTTCCGTGGACACAGTGGCATCCGGACCTGAACACAAAGTCTGAAGTTACATCTCTAATAGAATGACAGGGGTGAATATGCCCAGTTAACAGGAAACTCAATCCTCAAAATCTTTACTACTTTTTTGTTGAAAGGTGAAATTTGTGAACATTTTTGCTTTCACTAACTAAACCAGAAAGACATTTATGAAAAATTTATCATAAAATCCAGTGTGAATAGCATTCATGTTTAAACTTTAAGATGATTCTTTAAAAGGAAAAAATGTATTTTTCCTATAAACCAGCCTATGATGTTAAATTAGCCTGCTGAATGCTCTGGGAAGTGCAGTGTCTAGATTCTATGCAAATTATAGGTCTTACCTGAAAAGAGTTAAGAAAAATTTTCATTAAACAATATTCAGTTAACTCATTTCCTTGTTCCTTCTGGCTAACGTACGCCTTCCCACATGATCTTTTTCCCTATCACACTTCAAGGTCGGGTTTGGACAGCTAGCACAAAGATGAGTCAAGCAGGTACAGTATTTTAATTAGGTACTGGGGGTTTAATCACTGTGGTTGGGTTCCTTCCATTTTTTAGTGGTACTTTGAGGTTAGAGGATAGGTTTTACAGAATGTACAAAAGCAAAAGGTTCTCCTCTCCATCTGGGATTCAAATCAGGATTATATGTTTTACTCCTAATAGCATGCAATTTGAATGTTTGTTTATAAGGATACCGAGATACAATAACTGTTCCACAGAGAAACTAGCTTAGTGAAGCTCCTTTGGAAATTATTCATTAAATAAGCAATAGGTCTTTTCAGTTCTTCCAAATGGAAAGAGAAAGTCACTATGATGTTCTTACAAGTCTACACTGCCAGTCCCACCTACTCAGATAATTTTTTTCTGATAACAAATACTTACCAATGTAAAGTTTGCTTTCACTGTCTCTCAGTTTCTATATTCAAGATTTATGTTTACAAAATGTTATTCCTGTGCAGCAATGCAAGTTTATATATCACTTCTTGCTACTAAATCTCTGAGTAACATTTACATTTTTTGCACACTATCCAAAACTTTAAATTTCTTCAGGTTGAAAGGAGCAGATCCATTTCTCTTGCAGTCAGTGACATACAAACATAACACCTTTATTCCTTCATTGTAAGGGATTTACGCTACAGCAGCACGGTGCATTCCCCACAATGATACACTGATGCTGAACTCTTTTTCCCCAACATTATAAATGAGCCATCAAAATCTTATTCTGTTATCTCTAACTGTCTCTATGGTTTTGACATTTACTTCAGCATATAAGCTGTGCTCGTCAGAACAGTCTTCCTGCATATGCACAACAATCCTTAAACAATAACTTCACTATCCAGCTGAATGATAAAAACCCCAACCTTAGCCAAAACATAAGGAAAAAAATTATAAGACTCAAATCCTATGAAAACAGAGACACCCTGTAAGACAGTTAGTGTATCCTCAAACTCTATCTCTAATGAGCCTTAAAACCCAACAACTTCTTTAGAAGATGGTCCCTACCATGGACATCCTATCATGTTTCCCTTAGTTTCTTTTAAATTAAGGGGGCAGTCATTCAGAAGTCTTGTCTGACAACAGCTACCACAGCACAGAAGAGAGGAGGAGGAGAAGAACTTAAGGATCTTGTCTACAGTCTAAATACAGTCCTGTTTAAAAATGCCTGTTTTCAACTTGGTACAATGTGAGTTGCGTTCATTCCTGTCCGCAGAATAAACGTAAACATGCAACAATGAATGGGAGGGAGGGCTAGGACAGCTTCGGATGATGTAAATTCTCAACTCAATAGATTTCTGATGATTCGTATCAGCTTATGGTAAGCCCCAAACCTCTACCCTGAAAGCAGGCATACTGTAATTCAATTTTGAGGTGACAAGCTGAGTGTAGCCACAGCAGGGTGTCATCATATCTGAAAGGAGAACCTGCCATTTCCCATCCAGACACAAATTTAACAAAAAAAGAAGAAGCAAAAGCTTTAGAAACAAGAAGAGACACAAAACTTCAGATACTGCTAATAGAAGGTTGAGAGATTTTGCTAACCAGTGAAAGCAAACTTCTAATTATAGGTGAAGATATCAACCGTGATACCCTTTCAGGATGCCTCTGGCTTCAGGAGCACCACAACATGCCACATGACTCTTTTGTCAGAGATTCACGATGACGAACTTGACTATAGCTCTAAGTAAAAAGATATAGTATTTTCTAAGTAGTCATACTCCAAATAAACCTTTAAACACATCTAAACATGAAAAGGTGATTGGTTCTAAATTAACGAGTTAATCAGGAATCACCAATTCTGATTTAACGAAATATATATATATATAAAAGAACAAACAACAAAAAGAAACTTTAAGGGGAGCAGGATCAGGTTCACTGATAATCCTCTGGATAACACAACACTTTTTTATATGAATGTTATGAACCTTCCATGCCAATAGCACAATACAAAGCTTTGTATTGCTTCCTTTGCTTGCATTTCCTCCCTACATTTTAAATGAACCGAAATGTTAAGAAAGCTTCCGGTAAGAAACTTCAGACCTCGCCACTTATGTAAGATGGCTGGTTCCAGTTGCATCAGGTTCAGATACGAATATAATGTCAGCCCTATGCAGAGAGAATTCTGTATACAGCTTCCATTAGCATTAATAGGAGTTATATATGTAAATCCCACATATGCTGAGATAAGAATGTGCTAAGGAACTGCATTTACATTCCTGTCAGGGGGCTGCAATTAGTACCAGCACAGCAAAGGCAGTCTGTATTCCTCTCTACATTTGGAAGCCTTGTAAAACCTATGTAGAACAGAAATCTTTGCCATTATGCACCATTTTAATTACAAGCCACATCACAGAGTACGTGGGGAATATTTTGATAAATGCTTAAAAAGCCCACAGAAGTCCTACAAAAAAATGTCAACAGGGAGCAACTCAGAAGTGGCAGTCGTGAACCCCAGGGGAACTCGCTGACCCCCGAGTTGGGTATCTCGTTCTTGCCAAGTATGGTGGCTCTCGTACTTACGGGGCCCTGAAGGCCAAAGTGGAGAGAGAAGGGGGAGCAGCATCGCTCCCTCCCCAGCACCGTACCACAAAGGGGACAGGGGTTTCCCAGGACGGACACCTTTCCATGGGCAACTGGCTTTGCGCTTGCCAATACGTTGGCTGTGAACCTGTGCGGTTCGTTGCTCGATGACAGACAGACAGAGGGGGGTTTGCACGCATCCGACTCCCCGTAGCCCACACTTTTGGCTACGAGAGTGACAGCAGAATCGGAGCTTTCCCCGTCTCCCCAGCTTCCCCGTTCGGGAGGGGCCCCCGTGACGCTGGGTGGCTTTAAGACTGCACTGAGCACACTCTGACACCTTCCCACTGCCTGCATATGACACCGGGGAGAAACCGGTACATCCTGGCGGTGATTAAGCCTTGCTCAGCAAGCACGACTCCCAGCAGCCCCGCAAATGCCCGCTCCTCCACACGAAACCTGGACTGCCTGCACCCCGGCCGCGCACCCCCTGCCGCCA